GATTTTGAGTTCAGTTAAATTAGGGTAATCGGCAGCAAGAAGAATACGTTCCATAGATACTGATTCAAGAATGAGAGATTTAACATTATGATCAATTCTTGGCAAAATATTAATACAGAATCGATTAAGTATTGAGTCGTCAATAGAGAAAATATCATCATTTGACGTTGTTAATACAAAATTAAGAGTCTTAGTGAAGGCTTTTTCTAATACTAAGTTGTCAAGTCGTTGATTACCAACATTCATTATTGAATAGAGAACATCCATATTGTCAAGTTTCTTTAGAATAATAATTAATATTTCATTGGGTAGGTCAAGAAGATTAACATTTGACTGATTCATCTTAATTTTGACAAATGTTATCTAAATATGTATATCTATATTTATATGCTCAGTGTTTATTTGTATCCATTGTCGCCATTGAATAAAGTCAATGAATGACCCCGTCAAAAAAAAAAAAATATATATATATATATATACCGTCACTGAATAGTCCAATGAATTCATACATGAACATTTCTTCTTATTTTTTCGCGTGTGTGATATTAATATCATCGCTAGTGTGATATTATTGATGAAATATCTTTCATAGAAAGGAAACAAGGAAATGTTTACCACACCAAAAATGTATTAAATTTTATTCATAAATACTTACTTAGTATAACGGAAAGAGTTTTCACTTGTACACATATTATAGAAAATCAGATTATGTTCTTTTTTATATTTATTATGTTTCTCATTTTTCCTATGAATACAGAATAAACATACATAAACTCTTCGTTCTTTTATTTTATTAAATCTCGTTTCACTTAAAGGTCTAATAAAAACCAACAAATGATAATTTTTATAAAAATAAATTTGATTAGATCTTTTAGTGTAGATCTAAGATTTCATGAAATACTTTCAGTCAAATAACAACTGTATGTCTATTCAAAGTCAATGTATTTATCAGATAGAGATTAATGCAATTTTTCTTACGAAAAAACTTCTTCAATTGATATCCTCTTTTTGAACTTATATTTTGCTCGTAAGTAGAAATCATAATTTAGATGAAAAATTCTAAAAGACCTCATGCGCTTAGATCTTTCTTCTCAAGTTATTGTTATTTTAGTGAATTTTCAGTATAATGTAAGATTTGACAAAAAAAAATCGGACGAAGAAATTTTCTTTTATTCGGGAAGATTTCAGATAGGCATACCCTATTACGTTTTTCTTTTTTCTCAATAACCTTCAATGTGCTGATAACTTAGCAAATTATCATAGGAAAATAGAAATCGATTGATTAAATTACAAATCTTTATGAACACTATCATCGTTCTAAGATTGAGAATATAATATATAAACGGGTCTACGAAAATTGGTCAAACGAAAAATGCTCGAACGAAAGTTGGTCGCCGATAATTGGGCGATACGAAAATTGATCGAAGAGAAAATTGGTCGAAAATTTTGTTATAAAAGAACAAAAGCTTTTTCGTAATCAGAAGCTCTAACTCTTAAGTGTAAAAGCAAAATTTACACTAATTATATTAATGAAAAAAGGAACCCTCATATTCGAGGGATCTAATGAGTTAGACAAATAAGTTAGATAAATACAAAAAAGCAATAGTAGTTTAGAAACAATGAATAAGTTCCTCTAATTCCTGTAGTAGGATTGCCTGCTTCGAGAATGTGCCTACAACCTTATCCTCACCCTCACACTCAGTCTCACCTACAAGGCAGACAACGTTACTACAACAATTAAAGCATTTGCTCATAGTTACTAAACTGCTATTGCTTTTTTGTATTTGTCTAACTCATTAGATCCCTCGAATATGAGGGTTCTTTTTTTTGATTAATATAACTAGCGTAAATTTTGCTTTTACACTTAAGAGTTAGAGCTTCTGATTACGAAAAAGCTTTTGTTCTTTTATAACAAAATTTTCGACCAATTTTCGCTTTCCCTATATAAACAATTCTTAAGATGAATAAATAGTCACATCGAAAACTGATTTGAAACTAGTACTCATCGATCATGCGGCATAGTTATCATATCATTCTGATTGCTTTTATTGTCTTACCAACAATAAATGCATTCCTATTCGACAAAGAAGGTCTTATTCTTGTACCATCAGTGGCATTCCGAGATCATTCAACACCAGAACAATCACCATCTGATTGGAATTTACATAACCAAGGATGATATTATGAAGAAAATCCAATTCAAGCATTTTTAATGGAAAAATCTTTAGAACTTATTGTTCGAAAAGATTTAGATCAAAACCGTGTTAAAATGTTCACTGCTGAAGGTAAAGAAAAAAAAGATTTATGTATTGATGGTCTTAGTTGATCGATGTGTACTAAAACGGATGATGAAGGACGTCTTAAAAATACATTTAAAATGACAAATCAAGAAGTTGAATTATTTCGTCAAACTGGTGGTGGTAATGGGAAAATTGTATTTCAAGCATCAGTACGAAATAAAAATTTAAAAGGAACAGGTGAAATTTTCTTATGTGATGATCATGGTGTTACATTTATAAGTGATATTGATGATACAATTAAAATAACTGAAGTAACATCTTCAACACAAACACTTATTAATACATTTAGTGGTGATTTTAAAGCTG